ACCTGTGGGAGTCAGTGGATTCATATAAATCCATTGGAGGATCAGTCAAAGCATCAGGTAAGACTGAAAACTGAAGGATCCTACATCAAAAGGCCAAATTTTCTGTTTTGCTTAGAAAAAAATACATGTGTTGAAAAATAAGTCAAAGCAGAAGCTGCATGATGCCCCATGTGTGAGGCAGTCAAAACCTTTGTAAGCCAGAATTGGCATGGGCAAGGTCAGTGAGGTCCTTGGCAAGTCCACCTTGCAACTCTGAAGGACCCCTGACTTTGTTAGCCCTTAAATCAAAACACTAACCAACAGTTTTCCACAGATTTGTCTTGCAATCAGTTCCCAAGATGAGCTTTAGCCAGAGGACATTAGGAGCTATCTAGTCACCAAGACCTTTTGTGTGTGGATTTGCCACTGTTTAACAAGCAGTACACGTTATGCCACAGTCTTCACATGCTCTATCATTTATCTCAAAAATATTGCATATGCACATTCTTCTGAAATACACCTTACTGTGGGGCTGCTCCAGGGAGGAAAACAGGTTAGTTGAGATCTCTGATCCCCCAAAGAGCAGCAATGCAGGACTCCGATGCAACATGGGTCCTGTTGTGCAGTCTCTGCAGTGGCCTTGCACACATTATGAGCAGCGACAGACTGAGGCAAAGGCCCAGACAGCCTCAGAAGAGCTTGGACTTTTCAGGATGCTTCTGCTGGAGAGAAGCAGTGATGTTTTACAGGTCCAGCAGTTAACCAAAACAGCCACTCACAGCTGAAAGCACATTCATTATAACACCATTGATCACTGGATTCCCATATTACTCTCTATTTAATATTTGATGAATGTTTGTACATATGACCCTCACAATTTTTATATTTGACCCATGTCACACTCAACGATTTTTATTTACAGTCTTTTATTTTCAATGCCTTGCTGGTACTTTTAATGAATGCACAAGTAAACTCAGGACTCTCAGAAATCAGCACACAATTGTAATTCTTATTTTCTCAGTGGTGTGTGGGCAATTTACTCTTTGCCACTGGCACACTCCAAGTCTGTCAAGGTCCACTGAAGGCCTCAGGACACTCACTTGACCTGGCAGGGGCACCCTGGCACTGCTGGTCACGCCGAGCAAACAGGCAATTCACTGCCACCTCCTGGCAAAGCGCTACCCGGAGCTCCTGAGCCGAAACAAAGCACTGACACAGCTGAGAGCACAGCGGTTAGAGAGGAACCACACTTAAACCCACAACATCACTTAAAGAGGGGTGGCAAAAGAAGCACCTATAAGTCCTGCAAGGGCACCACAGACTCTCCACCCCTTTCTCTCTCTCCCAAAATTCACCAGCATTTGGACAGAACTTCAGGCTTGCTCCTGAGGAGAGCTCCCAGCAGCCACAGGAACCTGGTGACAACAGCAGCTCACATGAGGGTATCATGTCCACACCATGACACACAACAGAAGCTGTGGCACCCAACCAGCACCCAGGCTTAGAGCTTTTCTCTTGGAAAAAGTAACAGAAGACTTGAAAAAACCCTACAACAGCAGTTGTCTAAAACCCAGTTGCCATAACGAATCTTATTCATTTACCTACAGCAAAACTTCTCGTGACACTTAAGGGGAAACCAGGACCTGAAAAATTCACATTAATTTTTCTACAGAATCTGATGTGCTTGCCCCAAAGGAAATCCAACACTTTCCAGGCCATTTCCAGTGAAAAGGACTGAAAAAAATTCTCAAGTTAAACTGCCTTAATAATATAGGATCATTGAGAGTACGCATAAAATCTGGTTTGCTTTAGGCAAAGAGAATGAAGTTGAGAAAAGAACCACTGATTCAATTACCTCACAAAATGAAACCAGTAGCCACTCAGGTGGCATTTCAGCATTGCTGTAAAGCCATTATCACACTCTTGCAATTGACACTAGACCAATTCATATTATCAAACTGAACGTTGAATATCATCATAGAAGCACATTCAGTCCTGCTCTGGTTCATGTCTGCCTTTACAGACACTGTGCAGATGTTTCTGCTCCTTGTGTTCAGCAGCAGGCTTGCACTCCCTCTGCTCTACTTCACTTTTCCATTCTTTTGCCCTGGGACTCATCCCAAGGAAAGTACTAGTTTTTAAAGTATTCCATTTACACAGCCAGGAACAAGAATACTGAAGTGAACTCTTATTTGTATTCCTGCCTGCAAAATTCACACCCAATATTCAGTTTTGAAATCCACCCCAGGTTCCCCTTGGTAGTTTTAAGTGCTCCAGGAACATGAGTGCAGCAAAGCTCATTGCTGACACAAACATGCTTTACTCCTCTCCTCACACCACGATTACACAGCAGATTTTAGAAGGTGCTGTACAGATGAAAAACTTATTCTGCAATGCCATCATTATAGATGGCACATTATAGACACACATTATATACCAATCAATGCCAGTAGCAGCTGCCACTTGACTGATTAAGACATCCCAGACAGATTTGTCTAGCAGTCCTGATCAAAATTCCAGATTTTCTCAATTTCTTCAAGGTATCAAGGAAACACTTGGAAGAATGATATTCAGCACGTACTGTCCTCAAGTTCACACATCTTAACTGAGTAGAAAAACCAACCAGCCCCAGTTTTTCCAAGGCATAATGACAAAATACCCTGTGAGCTACATGAGCATGTAGAAACACTTGTTATTATCACAGCCATGACTCTTTGAAGGGATTCACTTTCTTCAAACATTTTAAAGCCTCAATATTTTTGCCATTTCTGGTAATTATTGGATCTTCTGCTTTTTACCCACTGTGGAATTATCAGAGAGAAAGGATCTCCATCTGCCCTTAAAGCTACATCATCGACAAAGTGTTGTTAGGATGTGTTTAGTATTGGCTTTGTTGATTGACAACTTGCAGCCACTTCAGGGAAAAGTCAAAATGCACTACCTCAATTCCACAGTGACCCTCTTCAAACAGGAGATAACTAAAATTCAGAGGTCCTGGCATTCTGTTTCACTAAGGATTTATTCTCTTAGCATTTCAAATCTGAATCTGAAGTCCTCCTATAACCTTTTCAAGAAACACTCTCCACAAATAATTAGTATTTGTTTGTTTTGCATTTACTGACAGACCATAAATAGATCAAGTCTGGTCAGTTTTACCTTTAAAGTTGGTCTGAGTTTGTCTCCTTTCATTCTGACAGCAGCAAAATCAAACAAGGTATAGGTACAATCAAATGAACAGAAGAACATGTGGAATGAGTAAGCATGGAAATATTTTGCCAGTTTTAAACCCACATTTCTACCACCCCTCATCTTCTCCTCCCCTTACCTGAACTTGCTCACAAATTGGTGGTGGAATGCAGGAACTCAAGAGCATGCTGGCAATGGTGGTTTCAAAGTCAACTCTGCTGCTATTCTCAAATCCTGTAATTTCTTCACTGAAAAACCTTGAGGAAAACTCTGGAATCAATCAAGCAGGATGTTTTAAGAGCAAGGTGTGCCAATTATACTTCTAAAGCTTAAACAAGTTATAGCAGCTGCTCAGTACTTGTATTTATTCATACCCAGGATGGAATTAGGTACTCACAAAGCAAGACCTTTCAAGCTACTGAGTGTTGCTACTTACACTCAGGAGCATATTGAGTGCTACTGATTTGAGGCCTAGATGGAAATGTCTCTCTGTAATCAGATGCAATACAACCAGAGGCAATAACAGTTACAGTTCCCAGTTGGTCCTCAAACCAATATTTAACATAACTTACTCTCAAAATGTATGTTTAAAGTAACAGCTCAGTCCCTAATGTATGTTCAAGGATGAAGTACTGACACCTTGCAATTCAATAAATGACTTCATGACACAGGAAAGCAAACTTCTGTGTAAGCCTAACACCATCACATATACTGCTTAAGAAAAAATATAAGGTCAATTAGAACTAGACTGAATTAATTTTATTTCCTTCCAAAAAGAATAGACACTAATTTAACTGTATACAGAATTTAATTTAACTATAACTATACAAGTTTCAGTATATTGTCCTGTTCAAAAACTGCTTATATATAAAAGAAAAAATACTGCCAAAATTCTAACGCATACTTTACAATTAAATGTCCCAACTTTCTTTCTACTCTTAATAACCTCAGACTAGAGTTGCAGTGTTCAGGTTAACTTATGTATGGATGAAAATTCCCTTGGTCTTAAGTGCAGTTTCTTTATTACCCATGTTTTTGCCACTACCACCAACACTGGACTCAAAATTAAGTTTTACAGTATTAGCAATGAAAACGTTGATGAACCTTTTAAGAACAGAATTCAGAAAAAGATTAACAACACTTTTTACTGCATTAAAATATGTTACATGCCTCTAAAAAATAACTTATGCATTTCTCTGCAATTTTTTCTGTTTATTAATCTGTCACATTGTACTATAGTATCTGCTAAGTTTTCTTTGAACACTTGAACAAATGAGAAGTAACCACTCTTAGTTAGACCATCAAAACTCAACTCCATCTAGTTCTCTTAGAACTTCTTGTTTTGAAACAAAAGGTGTCCAAAAGGGTTCCAAAAATTTTTATCATTACACTCAAGCAAGTCAGCCAAAAGAAGAAACAGTTTCTTTTTTTTCCTGGTATGATCACCCAAACCCTACCATTCCTCCACTTTCTATTGTTACTGCATTTAAACTGCCAACATTCCTTACCTTGACTAAAAAAAGGCTTCCAGTAAGTTATTTCCTGTTCTGTTTTACCTAGCTGCTGTCCAGGCACACAGAACACTCCCCACTACACTGCCAAGTCTCCAAATCCATCGTTGCAGTTAATGGAAGTCTAGGTCACTCAAAACCAGAATTACAGTCAGCAATTCTGTTTAGGGTATACCACCTGATGTGGTATTGACTGCATCACAAATCACTGTAATTGAATGCAAAGTAAAGGAAACTTGAGTTTATTTAGCTTCCAATTTCTGGGAGGTCAAGAGGAACTAGAACTGCTCTGGACAACAAAAGAAAATTGACTGCGCTTACAGATCATTTTCTGCCAGATTCTTTCTTTAGGACCACTGTTTTATTGTTGCCCTTTCTATTACATGGGGGATGTACATATTATCAGGTGTTAATAAACGGTCAGTGCCTGTACAATACATTCTACAACTGAGCACCACTTTCCGTAACTGAACAGGCAAAGAAATTACACTGAACATCAGCATCTGGCAGTATTTCTCCAAAAAAAGTGACTAAAATGGGTTTAAATTGATTAACACTATTAAATCACATCTAATATTTGATACTACATGATTTCATTACAGCTATACGATACAATTATACAAAATGTGTTAACATCAAAGAATACAACCAAAATTAAGATAGCAAACAAAACCTATATAACTTTTCTTTCTTTACAGGAAAATACTTTTGAAGTATGCATGTAACTGCCCATTCTTTTAAAGAAAATCTACCGCAAGCAAGTTATCAACCTCCAGAAAATCACACATAGCATTACTACGCATATCCCCAAAAAGTGTACAATATGCACACTTGGAAAATACAAAATTAAAAAAAATCGTAAGCAACAGGTGAGCTTCATATTTATAAGAATGTGAAAAGAAGTCCAATTTTAGCACTGTTGTATAAAGAATTGTCTTTTCTGATGCAAGTTCATGAGCTGACCCGTCCTGCTGGGGCCACACTTTACAAAACACCGTGTTCTTGAAACGGGGTTACAGACCAAGGTGGATCATCTTAGCAACGTCACCTTCAAGTTTTCTGTGTGGTTTTTTTTTGCTTTTTATTTACTACTTATCAAAACACGTCCTTTAGTTTTGTAGGGTTCTTTTTAAAATTCTTTCCTAGAAACAATATACAAAGGGGAGGCGTATTTCTTTCCAATTGATTTTCCTGTAAGATGCTTTGAGTTCGAGAACGTTCTCCTCGACTTTCACTGGTTGTTTTTGGCCTTAGCGTGTGTTAAGATGTGAGATTTCAGGTTGGTTGATTGCGCAAACTTCTTATTGCAGCCGTCAAACGGGCAAACGTAGGGCCTGTCGCCAGTGTGAATTCGCACGTGTGTGCGTAAATTGAAGTCCAGTGAAAAACGCTTTCCACAGCCTTCAAATGTACACTGTTGGAAGGAAAAAAACACTCTGTTAGCTAGTGGAACTCAGCTCCATCACTAAGCAGAAAAACAGTCTTCTTTAAATCACTAGACTGCACAAACATGAAGCCAGAGGGTGAAAATTGTTCTGGGTGAAGCTGCGGGGATCCCCTGTGAACTGCACTAAAACCTGCAAGACTTCAGTATATAGGACATATACAATAACATATCTATTTTCAAAGAGGGAGCTAAATGACCTCCAGCATGCAAGCAAAGAACTTCCACTAAAGGCACCTTCTCTGCATGTCAAACTGTACAACAAAACAGAAACAGGATTTCACAACAGAACTTCCCCCTCTGAGTGATGATTCGCAAAGATTTTCTCATTTTACCTGCTTTAGGATGGGCTTTTGTTACCTTTTTTAAGATGGGCTTGATATAAAAAGGACAGCACGTTCAGTGTTAAATACTTCTATTTACCACACAGAATATTCAGTGCATGCATCCAAGCGAATGCCTGAGGATTGTAAATCAAGCTTCTGGAATAATTTGTTTTAGAAAATAATCAACAACAAAAAGCCCTACGTATCTTAAGTGTGTTCTGGGGAACACATATGTGTTCAAGACTAAGAATAACTTTAAAGATTTACAGGGAGTATCATATGAAGAGGGCAGGGGACCTCTGGTGGCAGAAGCCCACATCACTCAGTATAAATGGAAAGAGATTCACTGACTCCATTGTTTTGTTGAAAACTGATTAATAAACCCTACTGAAAATTAGTACCCTGAGGTAACTAACTGAGCAAGCGGCCTCAAGTCTCAGTTACCCACAAGCACTAAGCTGTAAAGATGATGAGGAGAAAGAGACATTTTCTTATTTCTCTAGCAACTGCAGACCTCATTTTTAAAGAGGGCAACTTTACATTGTATTTTGAAAGGTATCTCCCACGTACATCCACTAAGAGAAGTCCATGTAAATAATCAAATGATAGCCTAATTAACTCAAGGGGACTCTCAGTTTTTCAGGTGCCTCATCTGATTTTCTAGAGCCCTAAGCATGCCCAAGCCCTGTGGAAGCCAGGTTACAGCTGGAGTGTCCATGCTGCCAGGGGAGTGTGGCACTCTGCCTGCAGTGAGCAGTACCTGAAAGGGTTTCTCTCCGGTGTGAACCAGCTGATGCCGCTTTAGCTTCGAGCTCTCCACAAAGGCCTTGCCACACTCTGCACAGACGTGTACTCGAGGGCCATGAGTGTGCAGGTGCTTCCTCATGGCAGAGTTGTCCCTGAACATCTTTGTGCAGCCCTTAAAAGGAACAGTGAAACTCAATTAGTAGATAAGCTAGTTCTCATAAAGAAGGTTTTATCTGCTATAGTACAAGCATTTAAAATGCTTTTATATCCTGAATACTTTCTTAATAGTTGGCCCTGAAAAGAACATCCCTTACATTTACTTCTTAAAAAGCAATATAAGAAAAACTAATCATTTGAAAAGCTGATAAAATAAAACCTAAACCCAATCTCAAACAAAAAGATCCCAAACCCTTTCCTCACTCATTATTGTGAGCCATGTGTAGTCAAATGAATAATAACAGGACAGTCTTATGGAGAAGATGCAGATTCTGACAGAAGCAAATGAATAAACTGAACAAAAGCATTTAACAGGTTTCAGAGGAAAAAAAAAGCAAACACAAAACAAAAATCCAACCAAAAAAAAACAAAAGACAGAAAGAGAGTTCATGGATACCTATGGTGTACTCTTCAAAGGGCTATATTCTGAGAACTATAGTACTACAATTTATGAGTCTTTAATATACCACAGGTTATTCCCTAGTACCAAGTGGTATGTGCACCATCTCCCAACATTCTGTTCTCTTCCTTCTCTGTCCTGCCCATTTCTGAGAACAAATGGAGCAAGAGGGTTTCCAGCACGTAACAACTTACAGGAACTACCTTGTCCAAACTGGCAGCAGCAGCGTGATCACTACCACCCTGGGACAGAGAGTGCCACTGCTACTGCAGATTGAACCTACAAAGTGATACTGGGCAGCAGAATACAGCATGAGTTAGTCCCAGCTCAATCCAAATGCAGAAGACATTAATTCAGGTTCAGCATCAAAAGTCTTAACCTGGAAGTCAACCCTGCATTGACACAGGAATACCACTTTTGATTCCAGAGTATGCTTAAGCCAGCAGTAACTTGGGGCTCTTATTACCTAATCTTTCTACATTTTTTTCACTTCTTAGTGACAACCAACAGATATCTATCATATGTTTTATAAATGTCTCCCTCAAGGCTCAAAATCCCTCATAAAATCCTATTAATAATCATAAATCCTATCTGTACTACTAGTGATACTGTTTAAACTTAAATAACACTAGTCTGCCAACACCACTGTGTTATGAGGCATAAAATTTAACAGTACCTAAAAGACTGGTAAACTGCTAATCTTAAATTCTGCAGGCCCTTTTTTTTTTCCTAAATACATTTAAATAAGATTTGTTTCTTACAAAAAGGGGCAAAATGTCACTTTCAGGAGTTCTCTCTTCAGGCACTAGAACCACTTTGGCTAATTTTGAAGCACTGTGCCATCATTCATGGCACATAGCAGAATTGGGTGGGGCAAAGCAGTGCCAAAATAAACAGATCATCAACTTTTTTTTGCATTTATTTCCAAGTCCCTTCTTGACTCTGAGACAAGCAGGTACAGCTACAATATTTTTCTTTTGTTAAACTGAATTCATGAATGCACAAAGCCTACAAACACTACAAGATAGAAAATGGAAGGACAGAACATTGTTTTTTCCCCTCTGTTTAAATGAAGTTGAGGCTATGAAAAAGTAAATTAAAGAAATGAAGGTAACATTCCTTGGTATAGTAAAAAATAACTGTTCCTGTATCTCTGCATACTGTATTACAAAAAAACATGACACTTTTAGAATGTGGAGAATTGGAAATCAATATAAGCACAAAGAGGAATTCAGAAAATTCCTTACACCATGGCTGTCAAAAGTAGCCTTCTATTCATGCTCTCTAATGGATAACTCTAATAGCTATCTGCCCTGATTATTTGCTTAGGCTCACACTTATCTAGACCAGAAGTCAGCAAGATTGTGTTTATCTCTTTTAGTCACGGACTAAATCAGCTAAAAGAAGCACTACAAAAGCTGGATAATGCAGGAAAGCCACAGGCTACCAATCTAGGTGACTGGCAACATTTATTCAAGACAGAAGCTTCCTTGCTACCAGTGGATCAGAATCACATCTCAAGGATGCCTGCCTCTCTCTCTCATGATGATGCACTTTCCAGCTCTGTGGAATGCAATTCTGAGTCTTCCAATAAAGCTGACTTTGGCATCTGCACCATAAATTGCTGATTCCTGATCTAGACTCCAAATCTGTCATAGTTTCCGAGCAGAGGATATATAGATCTTAGGAACGTACTTTGAACAGCTTTCAGAACATTCTTTCAAGTATGTATTCTTGGGTGTCGGGAAATCACAACAGTAAAAGCAGCATGTTAGGGACTGTGCATCATGGTTACCAGAAGATTAGGGATGCACTAACCTTAAGACAAGGAATGGGAATAATATATTATTCAGTGAAAGGTTTTAAAGGAAGCCTCTAGAGAATGACAACTAAAATACATTTAACTGAGTGTATACTATTAACAGTAAGATATTTTAGTTATTCATTCTCAAGAGAAAACATCAATACAAAAGTCTGATCTACAAATTACTATCTACTCAGAATCTGAGCACTTACTTTGTGAGGACAAGCTATCGTTCGTGGAGCATCATCTTCTTTAATTTTTCTTGGTTTCATTCTTAAAGATAAAAAAAACAGTACAAAATATTAGTAGAAACACATTAGTAGACTGCTCTTCTCCCCTGAGTGCCTACATAACGAGCACATTTTATCCCCCAGTATTACATGTGTCAATGGTATCCACTTTAACATTTTCAAAACCTTCATAAAAATATTACCAGTATAATTCAGCATTTGAAATGCTCTGCTTTCCAGAAGGACCTCTCAAATACAGAATAAGACATTTAATACAATCTTCTTAATCCTCTGAATATGTGGAAATTGAGATTCTTTTTCCCTGACATATGCTAATTGCAATTAGGAGGTTTTGTTTGAAAACTCCATTTGTGCTGTGCCAGTACCCATGTGGCCTATTTAGCTTCACTTCCTCTCCATCCATGCAGCAGGACATGAAGGAGTATAGGTTCAATCATTCTGCAGTATTTTCATCACACCAGACTTCTAGAGAAAACCCTATAGAAGCAGGGAAAGCAGAATCAGGCAGGTTGTGGAATCTATACAGATCACATAGGCATCCATTTCAACCACAGAAATAGTAATTATTCTCACTTTAAGGTATTGTGCACACAGATTCCACTCTTGGCACCTGACAAGCAATCACCAATTTACCCCTGGTCACTGAGAGGGATCTTCATTATTTTATGGGTGCCACTAACCTCCACTGCTACATAAGGAGCCCAGGAAACTCTTGCTTGTATGTGTTAGATCTATTACCTACAGTAAGACTCTGTACAAAACAATCTTGAATAGTGTTATAACAACTACCTATCAGAAAGTCAAAAGAGCCAGATGTGATTCTGGGGAACTGCACTGCACTTTCAGCTGTCTTTATTTCTCAAACCTGTGGCGCTGTCTTCAAAAAATTAAAAAGAAAATGTTTATCCCCATCTAACTATAGCAGTAGGTGGGTACAAATAAATAGACCCCCATACAGCTGAGATTCCCTTAGGTAAGCAATGAGATTTTGCACATTCCCAAACCTTGCTGTGGAAGCAGAGCCAGTGTGCTCATGTGGGTTTACTGAACTGCTTTTCCTGGCAATACAGCACAGTTCTGTGTCACAAGGTGCCTACATATCATACCTCCAAGTTAATCCACAGGTTTGGTGCTATTCCCTAGTCTCAAACTGAATAAGGAGCTTGAAATTAACAACATAATTTGATTTATCAGAATTCCAATTCTGGTACACACTCAATGTTCAGAAAGAAAAGTGTCTGTTGCTATCCATGACAGTTTTAATCAGCATGAGTTCTGTTTCTGGAAACTGATACTGAAGAACGAGGTTCGGGGAAGAGATTTCCAATGCATATATGTACTTTTTTACATCTCTTTTAATTAATTTCTATGAAAATACCTAAACAGCAACTCTTAAACACTCAAAAACTTCTCAAGAGCTGTAGGGAAAATAAACTAAAATGCCTCCATTCTGACCACAAAAGCATTTTGTTTCTGCAAGCTGAGTCCAGACTTCTTTGCTACTGTCACTCTCTTGAGGCTGAACTCTGCTTTCACCTGTTTCCTTCACATGGACTGCTGAGAGAAGAAGGTGAATTAAGGCAAGAGCAGTGAAAAATCTCCCTCAGAAGTCCTGAAGATCCAGGAAAATCATCTCACAACTCCCAGTGGAGCAATATGCGATGGACAAGTCTCCCATGGCTCTGTGTCAGCTATCACTGGTCCCTGACTCTGAGCCCTTTCAGCACTGCAGATGTGGCACAGTTCAAGTGATCACCTACAGACTAAAGCACTTGACAGCCCCTTCACAGACAGCACTAAATCCCAAGGATTTAGAGGTTTATTTTGCTCTTTTCTCTAAGTGGGCACATGGGAAACTCCTGCTTGCCTCAGCATCTCCAGACTACACTTGGCAGGTACAGAGGGATGCTGAAGAACACTACAGTCTCCTGCAGGTTACAAACACATTTACAGACATTAACAGTGGCTTGTGAATGGGTGTAAAGTATCTGTGCTGACAAAGCTCCTCTTGTGCACCACAACCAGCAGTACAACTAAGATTTCATCAACTTAAGGGCAGAAACATTCTGAATACAGCCAACTACATCTGTTGCTGTACAGCAGTCTTCTCATTATCTTAATTTTCATGGTAACTACCTTTTCCAAGACTACAGACCAACTCAGTTGACCTTATTGATTAAACTTAATCTATATAATCCAATTGGAATACAGAATGGCTGTGCTGTTTTCAGTTTACAAAGTCTCTCTGAGTAAAATAGTAAAATATCTGACTCCAAACAAGTGATTGGGATTGACTGCACTCTCCAGTGAGGTTCCAGACTCAATAGTACTACAGGTATTGAGGCTGTAGGAAAACACACACACACACACAAAAGCTGTCTTTTACAGTACCCCTATAGAAAGCTTTCAGTTACTTTTAACATGGGATTCTCCTTATTATGTCTCTGTGATATTAAAAAACAGGAAAAGGGACAGAAATGAGTAATTGTTAAAATGGTCACAGAAGAATGATTTGGCAAGATGGGACATGAGAGAACAGTGTGTCATGATTTAATTCCATTACAGAACAAACATCCTTAGGAGACAAAGCTGGTGCCAAAACCACCTCCTTTTAATTCAATCAACCTGTTAAATCTTGGCTGAGTCATCCCCCCCAAAAAATGAAGCAAAAAAACTTTCCTAGGTCTGAGATCTGTGTCCCTGACAGGATCAGAATGTGTAAAACCACGATTGTTCCAAAGTCTTAACTGGTCACCTGTAAAGGGAGTGACTAGACCAAGAGAATTGCTAACAACAGATGTGGCAAATAGCTCCAGTGGGCAGTGCCTGCATTTTCAAGCTTTGTGTTAAATCCTCTTCCTGACTCTTGTCTCTTACCTCTGGTATTGAGTCAATCTTCGAGAAAGAAACACTGCAACAGTGTCATCCCTAACAGGCTGTTGAGGTAGAGTGAGGAGGAAAATACCTGGGCCAGTGCAGGAAGGAAGCTTGAGGAACCGATTGCAGGTGGACTGGATGGTCAGACATGGGACAGACTGCAGCACCAACATACACCTTACATTTTTCAGTTCAGTGTCTGAGCAGGCATAGAACATGAGTGTTCATCCAGGTCTTTTTAATGTTCAGGCTTTGTTTATAAATTAAGCAGTATCAGCCCAGTAGTATACTTGAACATTTGGACACAAATGACAAAAGGCTTCAGTTTAAAAATGAGTAATTTTACATCTTCTCATTTTTCATGGAAGCACAGCAAGTTAAGCCTAAAATGTGGAACAAGACTGTACAGCAGCAGACAATGCAAAAGAAGAGATGGCAAACAGTGTCCAGGCTGTATCTCAGTGCCACAGGCAGGAGGAAGCTGCTGGGTCCTTTGTACACCTGGATTAGAGGCACAAGGGCATGAACACCACAGGCACAGCTACAGTAGGTCATTGTGTCAAAAAATGTCATCCTGCTCACAAAGCTGCAGAAGCCATATGGACAATCCCTCAGAGAAGAATGTAAAGACTTACATATTCAATGTATTAGAAAAAAGGTTTTGGTCTTACTTTAAAATTAACTTTCTGCAAAAGGAGACCAGACTAGAATCCGTGCTGTTGATCTTAATTACACTGGTGCAGGTAGCTCTTGCTGGTGGTGGTTAGACTTTTGGCTCCCACCCAGTAGAGCATCTCTACCAGCACCATCCAAGTTTTCTTAGCCTGAAATATTAATCAAAAACAGAACTCTAACAAATATCACTATTTAACACAACTACAGACACACACATTAATACTGGGGTGGAACTTCAGAAACAGTTGCCTTTGCAGAAAGTCAATTTACACAGCAAGACCAAAATTTTCATTTCTGCAGTGAGTTTACTTTCATTGCACTGAGCAGAGGCAACTGCACATCAATTAACTGTGACAATCTGAGGGGTACCTTGTACCTTTGGCATCAAGTCACTGGGACACTGCAATTAAAGGCTAGGTCTTAACTTGCACTGGGGGAGTGGAGGGAGGGAGTGGGCGACGGCAGAGGAAGCAGGAATGTGTGCAACCCAATAGCTTTACAGATGAGCTGCACAAAAGCACACTCCCTTATCACGCATAAGGAAGACTGAGTGAAATCACACATATTAAATCACTCAGGTTCTCAAAACAAAGAGAACAATACTGTGCTCTATCTGAAAGTTAAACCTAACTACCTCCTTCCATGTACACAGCTGAACTGAGAGTACTTCAACCTAAGAGAACCTTAATCCCCACCCCAAATCCCTGTCCAACTCCTCAACCTATAGGCTTGTCAATTGATGCAATTTTAAAAGTCAGCCATAGAAATGGTGTTAAAGCTGGGAAGAAAGGCAATACAATTCAAATAACAGTAGAGAATTTTCCCTTTGCTCCATAATCTCCTTTTTTGCCACTGCTAAGGAGTTTTGTGTTCTCAGGTCCTTTCTGCTCCCTCTGTACATAAAGCTAATCTTAATAGCTTTACTCTCTCTCTCTCAGGCAGCTCCTTTAACACATCCTAGAGGTCTCTGATGACCAGCAATGATGTTCACCTGTGCTGAGGGCCACCTCCCCTCCACCTCCCCAGGAACAGTCAGAGGTGGAGGAAATGATTCTCTCTCACCAGTGTTAATGGCACTGCTGGTGTGCTCCCCTCATTCTGCCATTCCCCTTGCACTGCCCTGCTGAGCAGAACCAACTTGAGTGTCACAGCCCTGTGTTACTGCAAGAGTTTATTTGTGCTGAACAACTCCTGGAACTGGCTAGACTGGCTTTTGGACAAACAAGATGAAAGGGGAGTGGCACAAGGCGTCCTAGGAATCTCTCTATGTACAACCCAAGAACAGTCAGTGTCTTACTTGTTTCAGTCACAGTTAGGAAGAAAACTGTTATAAGAAGTTCTCTCACTCCGTGATTCTACTACTAGGTTTGTCCCAGTTATGAGGAATATCATATGTGCAAACAGGGACACTGACCTGTGCAGTGGGGCAGAGCAGGAGGTGTCCCCTCCCCTAGAAGAGTACTGGGTAAAGCAATTGTCACTTTACTGTCCTTTAAGCTTCTCTGTAACAAGAACCATACAAAAGCACACATCTTATAAAGAGGCCTAAGTCATAAATCTGGATGACCAGAAGGCTTTGTCACTTCTAAAAAGGGTGTCTTATTTCAAACTCTAATGCAGTTTCCTCTCCTTTGTTTTCCATAGGTTTGGAAAGGGGATAGAAAGGAAGGCAGTTCTCACAATGGCTCTCCTTCAGAAAAGATACCAAGATCAGCAGAAAATAAAACCACAAACAAAGTTTTTACCACCAGGACCCATTACTGTGCCAATTTCCCAGCTACAGGATATTCCTTCTTATTTCTTTGTTTTACTGATGTCTGTGTTCTGTCTTCAGCCAGTTCAGTTGTGTACTTGGAGAGCAAGAGGGAGGGAGGGGGGCAACTAGGGATATCATTTTTAGTGGCTTCCTTTGAGGGAATTTGCCATATGCACATTCTAGAAATACCCCTGCTACCTTCCTAAGTTTTCACTACCAAGCAGCTATGATTTCTTCACAGCTAACTACTGAGCTGACATCAATTTAGATTTGAATGAAGCATTTTACTCCACTTGAAGGGATTTCCAGTTTCCCAGTCAAAGGTATCAAATGAAAACATGGTAATTTATTAGGTTCTGTCCTTCTGAGCAATCATTCACAATTAACATTTCACATTTTGATATGATTGCAAGAGAATTCCACCTTTTTGGTTTTTATTGTGTTTTCAGAGCATGCTAAAGAAAACTCAAGACTCCTAAAACAGAATAAGTAACCAGTAAAAAGTGATAAACTGCCCACCAGGTGTAACTTTTCGCCATCCATCTATGCATTACTGAACACGTCGATGTTCTGACAGAGCCTATTTATTCACACTGTTTTCAATGGAATCATAGAATGCATAAAAGCTTTTCCAGGAAAAACTGTCAGAGTTCCAGTTAAAGGATTCAGATTCCTGCTACATGACTCAATGACATATGCTCTAAACCAGGCAGTGAGAGACAACTGCATCACAGGAGACACCACAACCGCTCACCCTGCGAGAGCCACCGAGCTCTGGGCACTGGGGGCCACTGCAGCTGCTCAATTACCACAGCTCTGAATTTTTGTTTTGAAGGGCTGCAGAGCTACAAACAACTTCAAACATCAGGTTTGTCCCTGCATTACCTTTCACTAACTAGATCATGGTCAGAATACCAGAACCTTGTTCAAAATCGACGACCACTAGAATTCAAACTTCTTCTGTTTAAGCTTAGCCTCAGAACATTGTTCCTAATCATCAATGCGAATATTTAAAATCAATTTATCCTTAATCAAAATAAGCTGCATTTGTCATAAACAGTGGCTCTAGCCTGGTTCAGAGGAGGTAATTTCTACAAATGTATGGTGAGAGTCCTTCCTACTTTAATGAAAACCCAAAAGCAACCCTACGTAACTTTCTCTCAACTGCACACAATGCATTTACCATACAATTTTACTAGCCAGTTCACACTTCCTTAGATGTGGACAGTCACAATTGTTTTTCCAAGTAATCTAAATACAAATTTGTAATTCAAAACCTTACAGCACGTGAAGCTACTTAAGTTTTAGAAGAATTTTCAACTTCATGAGCTGCTAAAAGTTTTCACAATACAGTTACTAAAAGTTTTGAGCTTCTGAACTGTAAAGCAATGAGCAAATGTTTGGCAATTTCACAGAGCTTTATACTAAACAAACACATTCTTTTAGCATGAAAAACTTTACTCCTTGAACTTCCAAAGCCAATTCCAGCCATGGGAACCCACTTTGCTCTTCCAGCTTGCCATGCAAAGTTCCTACTGATAGTGCACACAGCAAGGTCAATAAGACAATTGAACAGTATTCTGCAGATAGCAGTACTTGAATCCATCTCATTAGCTAAGGAGTCCCTTCAACACACTTCTTAGCAGGAGGACAAGACCTTAACAAGAAATATTCAATTTCTAACACACACATACTCTTCAGTCTCAGAAGAATAAACAAACACAATAATTTAAGACATAACATACAACTGCAAGGCAAGAATAAAAGTTTGACAGTCATCGATTCTGACCAAGAAACCAAATAACCTTTCTTAGAAAATGCATTAAATTTTCATGTATCTACAATAAAGCTAAGAGAACAATTTTTCCCAGGTTTTGAGCAATCTGGAGATATTCCTAAAGGTGATATCCAAGCAAGGTGCTTCCTCTACCATCACACATTTGTCCTCTGACTGAAATGGATTACATTTTATCTGCTGTGAGAAAAGAGGCTGTACACATAAAACTGAATCTTTCCACTACATGCTACAAATTCCAGCTCTGGAACTTCCTAGAACATTCTGAAATATTATAAATATAGAAAAGTAGTAATTTTGAAATATTGCCAGCAGCCACTGTTTTCTCAATAGAAACCTAGCTAAAACATTCCACAATATTCAGAAATCTGCAGACACATCTGACAGAAGCAGCCTGCTCATTTCAAAAAGCCCAAATCCTGACAACCATTTCAAGTATTCAACTCAATCTCAAGACAAAATTTTCAGTATTTGCATGGAGAATACCCTGCAAGAAACTATTTCTGCTTCCTAACAAAATACAGCTATTCAGCAATTCAGTGTCCAGTAGAAGCAGAGTAAAGTTTCAGCATGCTTTACAGTAATGGAGAACACCATAGTAGTAGAAATATGTAAGTAACAGTTTAGAATTGGAACACTATGTACACTCAAGTGTATCACTTAAACATCTGCTTTCAAAAAAATTGTATGACCTCAAAAGGTCCCAGAGAGCATTACAGTAACTTTGATAAATGATAGCAAAACACAAAAGAAGAGTATCAATAGCTAGAACCACCCATCACTTCAGACAGAATCCTGTTTTCAGCTGTTTGTAATGTGCTTTTATACATTTTCAAATCAGACATTCTGAAGCAGGAAGAAAGCCCTACAGAACTATTTTACTAGGAGCCTTCAAAACTCACAGTTCAATGGCTTTAGTGAAAGTAATTGTGAGATGAGGCTGTGCTGTTATTCCTCCAGCACAAACACACTACACAGTAACAGTACAAAACTTGTAAAAAGCAGCAAGATCAAAAAGGTGAAACAGGAATAAATGTACACACTGAACACCAAGATCCAGCTAATCAAGAAGCCAGACTACTTAGCAACTACCTGGAACAAGGTACACTGTCTCTCTCTACTGGGTAGTAAGGATAACAACATGCAACTGTCCATCTGCTCTGAGCAGAACTGTGCACCCAAGCTCTGAAGAACAGCCAGCTGCTACAAAAATGAATGTAGCTTTACACATGTTTTGCTTTCAGGAAATATACTAGGAAATATAGACAAAGGTTAATTGAAAGTATTGATGATAAGTGATTTGGATAATGTAGGAATATATGGTTTAATTATTTAATGAAAAAAAAAAAAGTCAAGATAAAAAAATCAATGCATAAAATAGGATTTAAATATTAGTTCCTGGTAAATGCTAAAATAATTACTATGTCCGACAACCATTACACTATCTGTTGTCTAGAGGCAGATAGAACGCCTTTCATGAATGGGGTCCAAATGAACGTGGCTTTACACACGTTGTGCTTCCGGCCTGGGGAAATGGGCAGCAGTGCCAGAGCCAGCAGCAGCCGTGCTCAGACACAGCACTGGCGCTGTCCCGCACCCAGAGGGACGCGGGACGGGCCCCGCGCAGCGCAGCCAGCCCAGGGCGGCGGCCCCGCGGGTGCCCTCTGGCGGCCACGGGCGCTGTCACCGCCCCGCCCGCAAGGAAAAGTCACCTTGGCACTCGGGTCAGCCCATTGACACGTAAACGAGCCACAGTTCTGACTCACCAGAGAAAATCCAACTGCAATTACCAGCGGCACTTGAAAGCGCGCGACACGTGATTTAAGATCTTCAGTTTGAGAAGCAGGGGAAAAAGAGCAGAAGTGGCGTTCCCAGCTAAATCCTGCAGCCTTACTGGTTTGTACTGAACAACCCCAATGCAGCACTGCACTCACTGGATCCTTTGGTGTTCAGGAATTTAAGGCTGCTCACATTAAAGCAATATTCTGTCGTGTAAAATCACAGAATTGTTGGACTTGGAAGGGACCTCTAGAGACCATCTAGTCCAGTCCCAAGGCAGGGTTACCTGGAGCAATGAGTGATGCAGTCTATCAATGAATCTATTTAGGTCCAGTCTTACCTAATGGAACTGGAGACTGGAAGACACTGAAGAATTCACTGCTGATTATAAAACACTGTTATTTTAGTTCAGAACAGAGTAGCTGATGCTGTGTTAAATCCCTTGTTTTAGAAGATAATGAAATGGAATTATAAACCATACTAAATATACAATTTTGCCTAACAGTTTCATAACTAAACCAGTGAAAAGAACACAATTTTAAACCTCCTTTCTTCCTACTTACCTAGCAAATTCAGCCAGTTGCTTGGGGTCTGAGAGGTCAATGCCAGGTATTCCACCAGGAGGAAGTTTCTTCCCTGTCATGTACTCTGAGTAATCTGGAGGAGAATTCTCTCCAATGATCTGCTCTTCCACCACTGTTTCATGGTCAATATCCTTTTTATCATCTGAAATACACAAAATACCGAATTCAATACATACTAAAAATCAAAACAGCATACAATTTCTTAGGCTACATCTCAATACAAATTCACTATTGCTGCACATTTAAAAGAATACACTGCATTTCCACACTAATTGTGAAGAGCAAAAAGACACCCATACAGTTACAGCCTGAAGAACACACAAAGAATACAGTGAGTGAGGGAAAAAAGCAGAAATTGCCTATCTACTTTAAGCACAAACAAATACAGAAATTAGTAGAACAATCCTATAAATGTTGGCTTCACTTGAAAGATAATGTACTTTTCCTGAAACAATGCCTAAATATTGATTTCCCTTAACCTCTTCAGGACTAATCTCCACTATACCCACGGTGACTCTCAGCAGCAGTCCCTAACGTTGGAAGCCTATCAGAAGAGCAGCAGACACTCACCCTAAGATGTCAGGACTACTGATCTTTACTTCAGAGTCTCCAGACTTCCCTGACCTCCAACAGAAGTGTCACAGAGACAAGAAATTTAAAAATAACTGCTGATGGGCTTTCAGCACCTGCCTGTAAAATTATGCTTTTCTCACACTTGCAGACAGATCTTAAAGAAAGCAACTCAAATCATGTCTCTCTCCCAAGGGGGCTTCTTCCTCCTGTGGCAAAGGCCAGCCTGAACTCCTTCCCACTCCACTATGTAAACAGCAGACTGGGATTATTCAAAGCTTTGATGTGCAAGCCAGTTAAGATACTCTTGTTTGCTCTAGAGCTCCTCCTATGAATTTGTGCTCAAGGACTGCAGTGAAATCAGGAGGAAGACCTGCTGTTGCTGTCTACTCACATTCATACCTTAGAAAACATTGTACCATGCATTCTATCTCCTCTTGCTTTTTTATAATAGAAACTGGGAGACACAAAAATGAGAGAACAGAAACATCCATCTATGTTCCTCACTGCAGTGTTCACAGCAGCAGAAAGGAAGAGCCAGCACCTACCCTGTTTTCCACCCTCAAATACACTTGGGACAACAGATGTATATATGGCTGTAACTACTCAGCTCTGTGTAATGCAACTTGACAGTACTTCTCCTACTATGTGTATGGGGAGAAGATTCTGGAAATTGTTTTATACACAAGAGGCTACACAAAAATAACAGGAAGTTTTATTTTACAGATATTGTTTAAGCAGTGGAAACACAAGGTGGTAGGACAGAAATAGTATTTCACCAAATTAAAAAAGATAGGAAAACATAAGGCAGAAAACAAAAGACAAAATGTTTCGGGATTTTTCCCCTAAACAGAAACACAGGAAATAACATTAGTCATTACTCAGTTACTTAGGCTAGGGAAGAGAGAAGAAGACAAGCAAATAAAAGAAAGATACCAGAGACAAATTTCTATTCAATTTGTAATGCCTGCTTTTAATGTTTGCCACCAAGCTATTTCTAGAAATGTTACTGCTAGTTTGAGGCTTAATCTGATCTACCAGATCAAATAGCAGTTCATGTATATTCCATGGTGAAAGAGGAAAACAGACTCCAACGCTGCAAAGACAGAAGTGTAAATAAGAAAACACTATCTGCAGCATTAAACTCAAAGTAAACTACAAAACTGACTACTGACCTTTTTAGGTGTCCACTCACTACCACACTACCTTTCAGTCCCTACCAATGCTTTAAAAAGGCAATTGAATTTGCCTTCAGCAGGGATTATATGTCAGGTTTTACAGCAATTGAAGGAGTTACAAATTCAAGTCCATAAGCCTCTAGTTTGGCAACAATTTGTTCTTTCTAACAGAAGCTTGAAAAAAGACTGGCAGCTCAGAATGGCACAAAATTGCTGCAAAGCTAAAGGTGACACCTTCTCTGTGGCGCAGACTGGGATGAGATCAGCTGCCCTCAACGTGGCCATTTCAACAGCAACCTACAACGTGCAGTTTGACTATTTGATGGCATTCATAACACAGACAAGCCTTCATTTCCTGCCTCACATCAGATGAGTCAACTAGGAAATTCTGTATACATTCTTTAAGATGTTCTTTCCTTCCCTAGCACAAAGGTTTGCTATTCCACAGTGCTTTCTTGCTATTTGAGGACCAAACTGAAAGCCAGCCTTCAGTGGCTTTACTTCCCAAAAGCCTGCCAACAGAAGTCAATTCCACAGCTATATAATTCCACAGACTACTGGAGCAAAACACAAAAAGCCTATAAACATATTGCTTGGATAGAATAAAAGATAAGAGAAATTACAGCTTAGTATCTTAACAGTTATATGAAAATAAAAAAAAAAAAACCCACCACATTTTCCTATAACAAAAAACTGCATCTCTACAGCAGCACACTTCCAAATACAAATTTAAACCAAAACAATAAAATGCAAAACAGTTACCTTGAAGTGTAATTTTTGGCTAAAAGTAGCAGCAGACTTCAGTACCTCTTTAGTATCATGACCATCCTGTGACATTATCAGGTCATTGGGAAAACAAAACAACACCACAGCACTCAAGAGGAGCACAGGGGGACAGGGACAGCACAGCTGAGCCAACCCCAGGGGTTTCTTTTGAGAAACCTCCCCACTTTTTTGGGGGAAGTCTGGAAATGGAAACATTTTACCAATGTCCTCTATGCACAAATTTACTTTATTTGTGATGGCCTATCAACCTGGACTAGGCAGCTCAAAGTCTGGAGGGTAAAGTGCAAGCAAACTTTCACTCAGGCTGAACTGATCATCCTCACTGCTAACTGGGCAAGTTAACTGTTTGCTGGTTTTTGCGTTCAAGCAAGTCCTGATGGCCACTACAGGCAAATTACCTCCCCCTTTTCCTCTCATGAAGCATCACAGAATCAAATATACTGCATCCAAAGCAGAGCAAAACACACACAACCCTGAAATTACAGTGACATCTCTGGATGCCCCCCATGTGAGTTATATACAGACAGAGCCATGGAGCCAGTCAGGTAAAGGAAATGAACTACCATATATGTTGTCTGATCTACTTTGTTTTGTCCCTTAAAACAACCTGAGAGTAGAGCACACTCAAATATAAGGCATTTGGCTGAAGCACTATTCTTACAGATCCAATGCAGCTTTCTGTAATGAACTTGGAACACAATTTTAATGGCCTCCCCCTACATCCTCCATGCCAACTTGCATTAAGGTCTTGCATTACACACTTGGTCTAAACTGGGTTGTTCTATGCACCTTTTTAGGACAAACCCTAACACACCTTCATGTTCAGTGTCCTTCCATCTCCATGACTCTCACTGCCCCCTAAATATGGGCAATACACACATTGAACTGGATCCACTTAGGCCCTCCAAAGCAAGTATGTCAAACATTCTGCTAACATCAGCGAAAGTTCAGGGTTTAGCCAGTTGTGTCTTTTCACCACTGGAGAAACAACCTGAAGTTTTCAGAGAACCAAGCCCAAGTACTGAATGAAGCAGGAAGAACCAAGATTACTGGAATAAAACTAGTAGCTCCATGCAACAAATCAATAACAAATCATGGTAGAATCTGCTTCCCAATAATTTATTGATCACATCTTGCTCCTATTACCACAATTTCTCCATCTCTTACAGCCTTTCTATTACACAGAAAAATCCACCCACCTTGGAATCCCATTATTTTGTGCATTTCTTGAGTCGCAGCTGACAACTCTGGAACTCCCCAGCTTACTAAGATGACCCTCTTAACTCTCAACCCAAGAAGCTCTGTCATTATTTTTTCTGCAATTTTATTCTTGATTTTCCTTGTTATTATTGATTTTATCTAAATTGCAAAATCTCTAGCCATCCTCCTCCTGTATTACTGAGCAGGGAGAACACATTGTTGTTCAATGAGTTTTCATCTGAGGAAAACAGGGTGCAAAAGAGAACTTTTGAGATACACCTGGTAGCAAAGCAATGACACCTGATCCTACAGCTTTTTCCTCAAGGCACCAAATTAAAACACATTCTACTTAGCCACTAAAAGGATGAACATTTAAGCTTAAAATATGATCACACAGTTAAACACATTTGCTTTTAGGAACAGCTGAGAAGCAATTACAGGATAAAGGATGCATTCGGCAGCTGTGCAGTACCAAGGCACTGTGGTAACAGCTTGGTTATTGCTACCACATTGCAATCTCCTCAGGCAAATTAGTTCATTGGTCATGTTTGGAAGCAAAGAACTGTAATTAGCTTGTTAAATAATACAGTTATTTAGCAGACACTTCTGAATGTTAAAATTCCATTTTGCACAGTATGTCATTTTTTAACCTAAACGGCTGCTAGGTTACTTTCCTTCTGACGTGCCTTGCACACAGATGGAGAACAGGTTCTTCTTTCCCTGTGTCACCCATCTCTTATTTCACACCACTGAGACGTGAACTGACAAAACCAGTGCATATATCAACAGTCATCATCTGACTTCAGCACTTATGGGACTGCGCTGCAGCGCTGTGACCTTCTGAATGGTCAGCACAGGAGTGACTCGAGTGCCCCAGGGAAGGCTCCAACACCAAGTCAGTTAATTTGCTGCCCAGCCCACCTTCAGACTACAATCCTCTGAGTCATTTCAGATGGTGATCCACATTCGTGTATTTCATTTTCAAAACTGAAAATGCATTTAAAACAAACACAGAGAACAGTCTACCTTATCACTGGAAAAAATGTCAGGGCAGAATCAATGCTTACAGCAGAAGCTTGTATCATTGTCTTAATCAGAGCCAGAAACAGATTGTCATCTTAATATTTTAAACCAGAGAATCACTTTCTGCCTCCATTATAACAAACTTTGTAAGAAGCTCATTACCTATCTGTCATTGCAAAGCATTTTGGCCATCCTTGATACAGCCCCACAACTGAACTGACTCATTTATCATTTATACTACATAAGACAACTGGTCAGACAGCAGATGGTTATTTTTCTCACCCCTGCAATCTGATCAAGTAAAATGAAAACCTTTCTATTTTTTGAGTCATTGAAAGTTTAACAGATTTTGAAGAACCTTCTAGAAACCCAATATGAACTCCCAAACTTCCAAATAAGGATCCACAGCACAGGCTTCCTGTATTATCAAAAATAATTTCCAAACCATACATGTGACTTCTGTGTCTTTGTCTTTCCCATCTAGGGATGGGACACTTGAGCAGTTTAACATCTGTGGGCAATATTTGGTTGTGCTACTTCAGTTTGCAGACTATGCTTACAAATAACAGTTTAAGCCAACACCTATTTCAGGTTTGGAAGCTCGACAGAGGCATTACCTAGAAGATGCAGTTACACTAATCCATTTTTTCCCCTTTGAATTTAAGCCCCAATTGCTTGAAATCTCCAGCATTTGGTGCAACCAGCATTTAAGCACCACCTTCCCAAATGTTCCTGCATGCAAGAATCAACTCTGCAAGCACCATCTGACAAAGTGATTTCTCACGATCCTTCCCCTCCCCCATCACTATTGTGCACCCAACCTGGAAAAAAATCACTAAAGACAATGATTCAAGCTTAATGCAGCAAAGATACAAATAAATTCCACTTGATAAGAACAATTTTTCTAGTTCAAACTGGGGTGTCTCACTTGGATTACATGCAATTGAACTATATGCAATTTTCTGACTAATCTATTTGATATAAAGTAAACACACTACAGGAATATGACTGAACTATCCACCATATGCCCTCTTCAACCCTTTCAGAAATACACCTTCATTCACTTCTTACTTTCATGAACACATGAAGAAAGACAAATAATTGTATTCTTAAGAACTGAAAAGCTGATCTGAACTAGAACAAGGCACTCATGTTTCAAACTAAACACTTTAATCATGGGTCACAAGTTTGATATCACCATAGATACCAAGGTGATAAGAGAAGTTATGCTAAGTCTAAATTGTTGCCAACAACAGTGCTGCAATTTCTAAGAAACCACATAACAAGACAAGGATTCAGTAGTCCCCTTTAGTCACATTGCTATATATTTCACAGATTATTTCTACACATTTCAAGAGGAGCTACAAGACATGTTGTACACATTTATAGAAAAAGATTTATGATTGGTTAATTTTAGTACCACCCCTGTACAAGCCAATGTAGTAGCACCAGCAAACAGTAACAAGGAATTAATTCACATTGTCTTCCCACACTGTAGTGAGCAGTGTGTCCTTCTTCCCAGTTCAAAATCCCATGCACAGCAATATAGGGCTCACTGTTTTATCCTGATGCATGGCCTATTTATCACTTGTCTTTTGATTAACTTCCCATTTAGCTTTTAAAACAGTCAACTGAATCAGCAGGCAAGCAAATCTTTAATTATATCAAAACACAGATTCAAACCTACTATATTTCTTCAAAATAAAGTCGTTTGATTCTTTAGGGAAACTTTAGAACTACCCTTTTGCAAGCCAGTGAGTCTAGGTTTTTTTGGCCTTTATTAATTTTGAGGTTTTTGGGGGGAGGGTAGTGAGGTTGGGTTTTTGGTTTTTTTTTTTGTTTGGATGTATATCCTCTGCCTCAAGTTTTTTCTTTTTTGATTTCTCTGGCAACAATTCAGCCTCTGATGTTTCAGGAAAAAAGAGGCAATTTTTTCTTAAGAGAGGAAAAAAAAATCCCCAGGATTTGACCACATCAGACCGCTTTAAATAAATAAGCTGCATATGAGGTGTAAGAGCCTGTCCAATATTCTCAGTAAAACTTCACAACACTCTCAGCTGAGCAGGTTATTACCAAGGCTGTTTGAAGCTGGAGGGTGGAGCCTGCATACACAAAGAGAAGGGAGGTCAAACTTTTCCCCTATGTATTTGATTTTGCTTTTGGAAGGGCATTTTTTGGCCAAGTCAAATCAGACTAGGTGTTCTTTATTGTTCTGCATCATGGATATAATTGAGTTAAATGTAGCAATGCAATTCAATGTCCAGTAAATTATAAGTGGGTATCATTCCTACTGAGCTCCATGGTCATGCTCCTAAACAAGAAAATCACCAAAATCAATAAGGCTACCCCAATATAAAAGCTGTGTATGTGGGAAGAGAAGCAAATTTATTGATCATACACATGCTTCACTTTGGCCAAGTAATAATTAGCATGCAGTCCTAAGGAAGCATCCTAGCAGGCTCTCTGAATTTGCGAGTGCAAATGCACGCTAGAAATTGTCAATTGATCTCAGCGAGGTCCTGGATCCTGCCAGCTCATGAGTCATACAGCCACTTGCATTCAGCTACCTCCAGCAGCTTCCACAAGCCAGCACACTATATTAGTTTCTATTATCTTTTATCTTTCTTGGATGGTCAGTTCTAATGAAACTACTAGCAAGGGAATTTATTCTGTTTCATTCAGTGATACAGAAGCACACAGAACACCATCCTAACTAAACAGTATACAGAAAACACTTCATCAAGAAGAAAAGAACTTCAATCAAACTCACTGGGTTGTCAACTGACATGCCAATAGTGTCAGGTAACTCTGTGAAACTTGCTAAAGTAGTCACCTGTATTTTAAAAGGGAGCAAAAATCCATTGCACTGTGCTTTCCATCTTTTCAGGCAGGAAAACTCAGCTGTCCAATACACCTTTCCTTCCACACTGCCCTTTCTAACAACTTCTAGTCATTTGCAAGCATCACAGAGTACAAACATTTTCGACTACATCAAAAGCTTCAAGAGCTTCAATCTTTCCAGACACCTTCTAAAAACTCGAAAGAGCATAAAAATTATAATATGCAAGAAGGATTACCAACTTACTATTCAATAAACACCCACCAATTTAAATATTACATGAACCGTATTATTCGACCTCTTTTTTTCACATTTACGTAACATATGGACAGAACCCTGATTACAGAGCATTGCTGTCGGCAATACATTTTTCTAAAAATTAAAAAAAGAAATAAAGTGGGCAGGGCAGGTGCATGTCAGCTTTACTCCAAGCCCCACAGATACTTAACATCTTCACAAAATTTTACTGCCTTTAAAAGACACTCCTACACACACACACAAAAAAAAATCCTCAAAAAACACAATCTCCCACGACAAGGTCTCCCTGTGCCTACTCAAAAAGCTTATTTAAAGCTCCAGACCTAGCCGAGGAAAAGCCCGACGGTTTCCGAGCGCCAGGCAGGCATTACCCCGTTGCTGCCCGCGGCTCCCGGGGCCGGAGGTCAGCCCGGGGCCGCCCCTCCCGGCCGTCACCCCCGGCCCCCTCGGGCTCCCAAGGGCCGCTCGTTTGCGGCCGCCCCCTCGGCGGCGGCGGGAGGCGCGGGCACCCCGCGGGGCCGAGGAGCCGCTTCCCCCCGCCGGCACGGCGGGCTCCGGCCGGGGAGGCCCCACCCACCGCGGCGGGCCGGGGCCGGCGGCCCCCGGGCGAGCTGTACACGGTATTTCGGGCTTCGCCGTCCCCGGGCCGGGGAGCCGCGGGGTCGGGGCGGGCGAGTTCTCGCTCGCACATCGCGGTCACGGCCCGGCGCACACGCCTCAGCCGCGGCGGACGGGAGCGGAACGGCAGGCGGGGAGCCGGGGAGGGGCGGCGGGACGGGACACGGGGGAGAAGGAGGACAGAGGGCGGCGGCGGCCGGGGGGAGGGGAGGGAGTGCGAGGGGCAGGCGCGGAGCGGGCCCCGCGGGGAGCGGCGGCGGGGCGGGGACGGGGGGAGCGCGGGGAGGTTCGCCCCGCACCCCGCCTCCCCCTGCTGCAGAAACTACGCCATTGCGGCCTGGCCCGGGAGCCGGCGGCGCTGCCGCCCGCCCGCGCACCCCCCGCCGCCGCCATCTTGGCGGCCGCCGCCATGTTTGCCTCCTTCCCCCCGCCGCGGCCGGGCAGGAGCGGCGGCGGCAGCGCAGACCCCGCCATCTTTTCGGGGAGCCGCCATACTTGCCCTGGCGATGAACATGGCGGCGCCCATCGCACACATCAAAACATGGCCTCCCTTCAAAACAAAACTGTCCCGGCCGCACCGCGCGGCCGCCGGCGGGGCCCGCGGCCCAGGGAGGGAGGGGTCCGGCGCGCACTTACCCGAGGCCCACATGGTGACCGAGAACTCCCCCTCCAGGGTCTTGATCTGCACCTGTTTCTGCTCCCATTTCCTGCCGCCGCCGCCCTCGGCCCCGCCGCCGCCTCCCCCGCTCAGGTAACTCTTCTTGCTGCTCTTCTTGCCGCTGCCGCCCTTCTTAACGCGGCCTCCTCCGCCGGCCGAGGAGGAACCGCCGCCTCCGCTCTTGCTGCCGGCGGCGGCCACAGTGACCAGGGTCTGCTCGATGTACTCGTCCTCCCCGGCGGGGGCCGGCACGGGGATGAGGATCTGATCCTCGAACCCGTCGTCGGCCCGCAGTCCGTCCGAGTCGTCTCCCCCCACCACCTCCTCGCGGGTCTGCACCAGGATCACCTCCTGGTGGTGGTGGTGCAGGTGGAGCTGCCCCCCGCCGCCGCCGGCCGCGCCGCCGCCCGCCCCGCTGGGGTCCCCGTCCGACACCAGCGGCTGCAGCGCGATCATGGGCTGGTGGTGGTGGTAGTGATGGGGCGGGTGGTGCGGGCCGCACTCCTCGCAGCACTCATCCTCCTCCTCCTCTTCCTCGTCCTCCTCGCCGCCCACCACGGTGGTCTCGATGGTCTCCACCGGGATGGTCTCCACCTCGATCTCGTGCAGCTCCACGATCTCGGCCGGCATCTCTGAGCCGTCCGTGGCGATGTACAGGGTGTCTCCCGAGGCCATGGCGGGGCGAGGGGAGGGAAAGAGAGCTCCGCGGGCGGCGAGGGGGCTCCGGTCCGCTCCCCTCGGCGGATGGTGGGGCTCGGGCTCCTTTCGCCTGCCCTCCTTCTCCTCCTCCTCCCCCTTCCACACAAACACCAGCGCCTCGCAGCCAGCGACAGGCAGGGAGGGAGGAGGGAGGAGGGAGGGAGGCAGCACCGCCAAATCCCGGCCGCGCTCCCTCGCGAGACTTCCGCCGCTGCCGCCGAGACGGACCCCAGCCCCGGAGGCCGCTGCCGCCGGACTCGCCCCCCCGCCGCCCGCCGGCCAATGGCAGCGCCCGCCGCGCCCAGGCGAGAGAAGCGGCCAACGGGGGCGCGCCGTGCCGCAGCGCCCCGCCCCCCCTGCCCCTCCTCGCCCTATCGCGGAGCGCTGCGAACGCGGGGCGCACCTCCCGGCGCGGAGCAGCCAATTGGCTCGCGGCGCCGTCTCCGCCCCGCCCCGCGCGGAAGCGCCGCCCCGGCCCCGCCGCCCGCGCGGGCCCCGCAGCTCCGTGAGCGCTCGCGGGGGTGGCCGGGTTGGCGCCGCCAGGGGGCGCCGGGGCCGCGCGGCCGTTAACGGGCGGGGCCGGGCCGGCTCCGCCGGCGGGCGCGCGCTGCGCCCGGGGGGCCCCGCGGGGAGCGGCGGGGCCGTTTCCCCACCCGAGCTGAGGGACGGATGGACGGGCGAGCGCCGAGCTGCGGCTGAGCCTTGGGACGTGGGCAGGGTCGGCGCGTTTGAGTGTTTCGGTTGAGCTGTTATCGGCACGTGGGAACCTTTCCCTCTCCTCCCTTTATTCCTTTGGGAAGCCCTTTGGAGGGCGGTGTGTTCCCCGCAGCCGTGCACGGAGGTGCGCACGGACACTCCGGGGCTTGCGGAGCGCCCGCTCCCGGTGCCGCCGGCAGCCCGGCCCGAAGGCACGGCCGGGGGGCGATCAGCGGCCGGGCGCATGAGCTCGCTTACCGAGAAACAGCGTTTCAAATACGTGAAGCGTTGCAGTTCAATCACCGCACGAAATTCCAGTGCGTGAAGCGATCCCCTCATTTAAACTACCAAGTGTAGGTATCTGCCTTAGTTATTAACACACCTCTCCGTCCCCGAACTCTGGTGCTCCCCAGAACCTTTCCAACAGCCACACAGCAGTTCGTGGCCTGCAAACGCAGCTGCTCCGCGCTCCAGTCACGCTCCACTTCCTTCCCCTTCTGCCAACTGCTGCAGGACATCCCTTCCTTACCCCATCAGGGAACCGCAGCGTGCAGAGGTGCCGAGGGAAAAGTGGCACTCGTGAGCGTGTTTGCTTTTTGACTTTGCAGGGGGTCTGGAGCAGAATTTGCAAAGAAGCAGCTGCCTGTCTTGATGTGAACGAGCAGATATCATGGGTAGGAGATGTGGATTGAGTAATTGTAAAATGTTCTCTACAGGCGGCCAGAAGTTCTTCAAAGGGACTGTGTTATCTTCAGTCAGACGTTAACGTGCTGGTGGCTCTACATGTTCATCTTTTAAAAAAGGAAGTCTTGGATTATACAAAGTAAATTAGTACCACCGAAAGTGAGGGTTCTAAAACAAGTCTCACTGGCCTTTTGTACTCAGGGCAAGATTATCTCCTCTTCCTTATTCCTCCTTTTTTTCCAGCTGTTATATCACTTTTTCTTCCCCTTTTCCCCTCTGCACTACAATTGCAGATTTGGCTCATATGTATTTCCAAGGCTGCTGCAAGTATACATTCCATTTTAACCTTCACTCTCAGTACACCATTGCTTTGTTTGCTCATATCCCAAGTTGCCACAATATAAAAACTGATAAAAGGTTCCTGCAAATACTTTCTTTTTCTAACTCATCATCAAGTACTTTTTTCTTCTACCTCCTCATCAAGTGTTCTCCAAGTTATTCCAGTCCAAGTCTCAAGACACCAGTACTGAGCTTTGCCCTACTGATGAGATTAGGAAATACTTTCCTAGTAACTATTAGAAATAGCAACAAATTTACTTGCAGAGATGTGGAATTTCCTTCTCTCCAGTCATGCTCAGCACTCCCATTTTAACAAACTACAAGATGTAGTTTATCATGGCAAAATTCTCACAAACTGAAAGGCTGTTTTTAGATCCTGTAAAGAGATTTCCAGAACTCTGCATATAAATTTTGCCTCTCTGTTTATAGCTGGAAGGACAAGTGTACCAGCGTGGGAAAAATGGTTCTGTAGCTTTTAAGAACTAGATTTCAAAATTAGAATGAAGTCTCTGTAGTCCCTTCATAAAAGTTACATGTAATAAAAAAAAATAGTGAGTCATTATGGTGTACTTTTCTATTTTTTTAGGAGAAATACATCACTCAGTTATACTTTATATTCTAAGCCTGCATAGAGAAAATAATCATGTCACCTACATGTTAGACATGCACTCAGTCCTGCTCTTGAATTCCCATCAGAGCTGACATTGGCATCAGAGCACCTGAGACTGGGCCTGAGTGGATTATTTTGAGTGAAGGGTTTTTTTTGGTTAGTGTAAAATGAGCTTTGTCAAATACAAGAACAAAGTCACAAGTCTCTCTTGTTTATTGAGATAAAATTTTTGGTTCAGGTCAGCGATAATAGTTAAATAATCTTGCACAACCTTGTTTCATTTTTGTGGTTTCCTTTTTTCCTCACTGCAAGCAATTATATAATTTCAGAAAAGGCATTTTCAAGTTTGTAAGTATCACAACCACCACATTTTAATTGTGTTCTCTTTATCCTGAATGAGATGGTGTGCTTAACTTACATTATTTTCCATTAACAGCTTGACTAGAAAATACAGCAACAAGGAAAAATAAAGACCTGAAAGCTGCCAAGTGAAAAGGTGTTTAAAAGAAAACTTTGTCCCCTATCCAAATACCAGCAGAATTTATCCCCTTATTAATCTCTTATCTTCTTGCCCTATGCTCCCCATTTTTCTCCCCATACTCAGAACTCGTTTGTTTCCTAGACACATTTAAAAAGCAAGGCATAAAAAAGTTTGATTTAAAAAATGTAAACCATCCATTTGAAATAAAAATTATTTTTAAGCATCTCTAACAAGTGTTTAGGAGTATATATTCTTATATTCTATTATTGTATTCTGTAAGCTCTGGATTTAGCTGTTTTATTGTGGGGGGGGGGGGGAGAGGGTGAGGGTGTTTTTCCCTGGTTTCTTCCCTGAAATCTGCTGCAGGAAACTGTATTCCACCATCAGTCTGCAGAAACCAGATTTCCACTTTTCACATGCACACACCCACCAGCACTATTTTATCTCCACTCTCTGTTCTTGCCACTGCAGAATTCCTGGTAGTAGTTTCAGGTGCCAAGCACACCTGACTGAGAGAACAAAATGTCATGGGTTTTCTCCTGACAAACCCAGCTTCTGCTCTCCTCACAGCCTTCCTTTCTTTTGGATTGAACTGACTCACATACCTGCTTTTCTTAGCACTGCAATGTGCAGGGAAAACCTCGGGATTCAAAGAGATGGCAACTTCAAAGCCAGCACAAACAGTGTAGTAGTTCTGTACAGAAATCATTTGGACAAGTTAGAAAGCTACAGGTTACTGAAAAGAGGAGAAGTCACCTCTGTTCCTTTTGCTGCAATGCTGTAAAAAAAGTAGTGCCATCCACATTTACCTGAACCAGTACCATGCACAGGAAAAGGAAGGCAGGAGAAGAAAGGAGAGGAAGGAAAAAGAAAAGATTCATGCTCTCAAAGACATTTCTTACACCTCTGAACTTCCTTCAGCTTTTAACTTTTACATGTACTTGGCATGAAGTACTACAGAAGATTGTATCTGCTGGGTTCTCATTTTGGGGTGAAGAGGTACATCTGTGTAAGGAGTAGAAATTTCTGCAGGCAGGTTATGCCACCATGTGCACTGATGGCATACAAGGACAATTTGAAAAATCACATTTTGTTTCAATTAACCCCAGAGAATTCTGAGCTGAATGAGAGACATTGACTTTCTCAGTTTCACAGGATCACAGAACAGCAGAGCTGAGATTGCAAGGGATTTCTAGATAAATTCTAGTCCAAGCCCCAGCTCAAAAGTGGGGTCAAATGGAGCAAATTGTTCCGAGTTGTGTTCAGCCAAGATTTTAGTATCTCCAAAAATGGTGACTCCACAGCCTCTCTGGCCAATTTGTTCCCGTGTTTGAAAGAAACTCTTCTCTTATGTTTGATGAAAACTGTCTGGATTGCCAATTTGTGCCTGTAGCCTAATGTCCTTTCACTGGGCACCACTAGAACATGGCTAATTTTTTCTTTTTAACTTTAAATTTTATTTATAATTTTATTTTGCAATTCCTGGAGTGCTTAAAGCATTTGTTAAATGCAGAACTACCTGCAGAGAAATCAGCAGTGTTGCTCATAGCACAAGAAGATATAGGGTGCTTGGGGCATTGCAGCTCCCTGGTTTGGGAGAACCCTTTTGAGCCATCTCTCAGACTCTCAGATATGCTCAGTATAAGTTATCTCCATATATATATATATATATATATATATATATAAATAAATAAATAAATATATATACATATATATAAAATACGCCATATATGTGATCAGCAGATAATGGTCAGTACTCAACATCATTAGCCACTCATATGCTTTTACTCTTGTGCATTTTTTTCTTGTGGCAAACTCATTGTTTGCAGCTTCCAGAACTACAGCTGCCACTGCTGTACAGTCCAACTTTGTGTATAGTATCTGGTTGTGTGATGTTTATTTGAAGAGCTGTTTCTTGTTTCATACTACAGAACTAATTGTCCTGACCCTTATCTCAGCTGCACCTAGCCCAAACTAGGTAGCTCTTCTTTTGAAAATAATTACTTGGCAAATACAGAAGTCTGCTGTATTTTAAGAAAAGGAAGGTCACACAAACCAAGTTAATCTTTCACAAAGTACAAGTGAGTTAACAAAATGATCAATGCTTGTTTTCTAAATATTGGAGTAATTTTTGTGGTGTTTTTTTTTTTTTTTTACTGTTATTCCTACGGTCCTCATTTTATACCAAAACAAAGGGAGCACATTTAAAGTGTGAAACTTGTGAAATAAGTGAGGTTTTCATAGCCAGCATCTACAACCTTCTCTCTTGCCTCTAGCCAGGTTAACACACCCTTTTCCTGATTTGTTTCACCCAGCCTTTCAAATTCAATGATTTGGAAAATTCTGATATCCTATTTTTCCTTCTCTTTCTCACACAAGCTATTTGCCTAATGTTTAAGAAAAAGAGAA